CTCTATATTACTAAAGTATGTATTTTTTATGAATTAAAATATGTATATTTAATATGAATAAAATCATAAACTTATTAAATTTTTAGATAGAATTAATAAGTTAAAGTTTTGTTAGTTTTAGTGAAATATATTAAAAGTGACTTACAAATAAGATTAAATGAAATATTTATTTCTTTTTATACAAATGCATTTGGAAAGAATTACAATCTAGTTTTAAATAAAAAAATTAATTATTTCTTCAGTGTATTTATAAATCAAATATTTTTATTTATATTTTAAATTCCAATATATAAATTATTAATTTTTTATTTGAACCAATATATAATTTTCCTGATGCATTAACATTGCCCCCGTCAAGTTACGTAATACGTAGGCTGCTAAAGAAGGCATTTCCTTTTTTTTTTTTGGACCAACAAAGAAGGTGCTTCCTTAAACAAAATGTCGTTATCTGTCCCCTTGGGTGATGTTTGGGGTGAGGTAGCGCCCGGGGGGGTGGAGTGGGAATGAGATTGGCTTTTTTTCCATATTTGGTACATGTCAATCCCATTCCTAAGGAGAGCTCTATTTCCTCAAATGAGGGAATGGCCAAACTTACCTTACACCATGGAAATGGATTTTTTATGACAAAACCATCCTTCTTTAATAGTTTTTTAGAACAAAAACATCTCTTTAGTTTTTGCTCTCCCCTTTCCTCCTCTTGAATTTTCTTTTAAAATTCCCACTCTCATTCATTCGTCGACTCTCTTTAATCTTCTTCATCTTAAATTTTATAGTTGTCGACCTATCATAGTTGACTCCCTTTGATCTACATCCTCAGTCATCCAATCTCACATATCTGCCTAAACTTAATCTTGTAGAGTCCATCCACCGTCCAATCTCTCTTTCAAATATCATAGGTCAAGTCATCTAGATCGTTTCATTAACCAACAAATGGGTGGGTGACCCTTCTTGCTTGCTTGGCCATCAAAGAAAGGATAGATGTGAATTGGTTTCAATATTAGAGTTGCTAGTTGATTGAATTTGGAGAGAAGTGAAATCGTCAATCTCATTCTGATACTCATCTCAACTTTATCGTCGAGCCCCCCTCTTATCATTCTCATCTTTACTATTCAGCTTCAATTTTCATTTGAGGAGGAAGCTTCATCATTCTTATCATCCTCTTCTTCCTTTATTGTTGGATTTCCTCAAATTTGATTTAGGGTTATGTTTATTGTCTTCTGCTGACTACAAAAAGTCTAGAACCTTCTTCATGATGACAAGGGAAGTGAAAGAGAGAGGAGACTTGGAAGTAGGGGTGTTCATGGGACGAGACGAGTTCAAGATACTCCTGTCTCATGTCCCATCCTGAAAATAGATTGAAACTGAATTTTTATCTTGTGTCCCGTCCCATCCTATTAGTAGAGTTGGTAAACGGGCGGGCTTAGCCCATATGGGCTCGGCCCTTATGGGCCCAGGCCCTAAAGCTTGGTTACCCCAATTTTATCCTAAAATTAAAGCCCGGCCCTTATTCATAGGGTTCAAGGTCGGGCCCGTAAATTCGGATAAGAATAAAATAAAATTTAACATTAAAATTTATTTAGAATATTTTAAAATTTAACATATATCAAGCCAAAGTCTCATATAATCTAAAAAATGAACAAAAAATTTAAAAGTCTAAATAAGATGAAGGCAAACATCATCATCAATCCTAATCAAAATCTCCCACATTGTCATCTATAAATAAAATATTAAAACTCAGATGTAGGTCCACTTGTGAAAGATAGAGGCGGAGACTCAATATTAATTATTTCTGCAGCTTCTTCATCATCACCTACAATAATTATTAATTAAATTATTTTATTATCAAATATATATCTATACATATATCACAAGATAAAATATAAAAATTACTATAACATGTGACAAAACAATTCAACCAATTGCTGGTACAAACTACAAATCAATATTTGTACATTATCTGGAAAGAGGTGAAAACAATACTTTGTGAATAGTAAAACGGGTTTCACGGGCCGCTCAGGCCCGAGCCCGTTTTTCTAGGGCTTAAAAAGGTCAGGCTTCAAAGCCCAATTACCCTAAAAAATGCCAAATTTTTAAGCCCAAACCTTTATTAAAACGGGCTTAAACGGGCGGCCCATCAAACCCGACCCTTATTCCTAACTCTACCTATTAGGAATCGGGATGAGATCAGGAAGTCCCATCATCTCGATAAATCAAATAATATAAAAAAATTAAATAATAACATTTATTAAAATTTTAAATTATATAATTTATTAAGTTTAAAATTAAAACAATACAAGTATATAAATCACAACAATTTAAAGTCAATTATTGAATTACATTAATCACAACTACACATTATAATAGTAAATACAAATAATCTCTAGGCTATAAGAGTAGCAACAACTGACAACCCAAGCACAACATCAAATTATTGTTCTTTTACTTTAGTTAAGATGTGCTAAACTAATTATTTTTTTAAAAATAAAGCAAGAAATATGATATACATAAAAGTTATTAAATAGATAGATATAAGAATAAATTATATTAATATAATTTATATATTATACAAAAAGATATCATCTTGTTTACTCTATGTCAATGAAATTATTAATATAAAAAACTTTATTTTTATATAAGCATTGAAACTATAATTAATATAAGTGTAAATTATATTAATATAGTTAATACTTAATGTATATTTTTAAAATAATAAATAACATATATAATATTCGAGATGGGACAGGACGTCTTGGTAGTAATCCTCTATCCCATCTCATCCCGTTTCGAACTCTTTTCTTATCCCGTCCCTCAAAATCTCATTTTGATATCATTGGGACGATATTGAGCCAATCGAAAAGGATACAAGTTGAATACCCCTGGCTAAAAGGAGACATGGGTTCTTTTTTTTTTCTTTTTCTTTTTTCCATTTAACAATGAAAGCGCATTATGGTATTTTGGCAATATAATTATAGATATCAAATAAAAATAATATCATTATTTCATTGATATATCAAACATATTTTTAAATTTCATTTTCACCCTCATTTCTACTCCTACTTCATCATTCTTAATCCCACTTGATCAAAAATCCTTCCACATACCTTCCATAAAAAAAAAATGACTCCACATACCAAACAAGGCCTTAAGTCTTTTGATTGTGATTTATTTATTAGGTTAAATTTCATTTTTGCTCTTGATTTATATCTTTAGAGCATTTAGTATCCTATACTTTATTTTGGTCCAAATAACCTCTTAAACTATCAAAAATAAATCATCTAATATCCTACCATTAAATGATGCTAACAGATGTTAAGTTTGCATAATTGATAGCCTATATCTCAGCCATGTGTCATTGGGTTGACTGTTTGTCACACATGGCATACATGTGGCATGCCACATCCGTTATTCTTATTATGAAAACTTGAATGTCCATATTCTCTGTAAACATTTGCCTAATCTCTTTTTATTCTTTGATGGAGTTTATCTTAAGCCATACATCGCATTCAACAACCACTTGCAGAACAAAGTGAAACCAATCAACAAAAACAAATTGAAAACCCATAAATTAAAGGTAGAACAAAATGAAACCAATGCAAAAATTGAAAACAAAAGGCAAAATCACTTGCACAAATTGGACCCAAATAAAAAGCCAAGAAACTCATAAATCTATAAAGGAACCCAAATCTCTAAAAGAATGAGAGGAATATAGAAACTCACATAGAAAACACAACATTATATTTAATCAAAACTAAAAATCAAGCCATATTTAAATAATCAAAATTAAAAATAGAACTAATTGAAGGCACGTCATAGTCAAGCTTCTTAAAAGTCAAGACTCGTGGATAAATCAAATCCAAAACCATTAATGAGAAAATATAGGAATCAAGCCATATTTTTAATTTATCCCATATACCAAGGGGAAAAAAAAACAAAGATCAGAGTTTCAATTGAACAAAACCGGTAGTGATTGTTTGGATGCCATAGTCAAGTGTCACATGCAACAAAAGAAAACCCATATTTGAAACCCATATTTGCTTCGTTGTTGGATAGTTGTACAGGTACTCCACGACGGTGCTAGGGAGGATGTTGACAGTTTTCATGATGGCATTGTCCGCTTAGAATTCATGAGATCCATTAGATCTAAAGCGTGAATGCAAAACCATGAGATCCCCCAAATCTAAACCACGACGAACACGGATCCATCACTAAGAAGAGGTCTTGTGACGACAAACATGATTCCCAGAGCTCGGCAAATGCAAATCCCTCTTCAATTAGGGAGCCGTAGAACTCGTTGATGATTAGGGAGCCAAAGGGGATGTTCCCATTAGTTTCAACTTCCCCCATTGGATGCATTGAAATTGTTAGGTTGGATGGGTTTCATTCTTAGCCCGGGGGATTTGTTGGAGACAAGGGAGAAAGAGGATATTTTTTTTTTTAAGAAAAAAATTACGACCAAGCTTGCCATGTGGATGCCGCATATATCATATGTGGGCCTTACATCTTTGAGATAACTGACGTTGGCCTTGGTTTAGCAGTAAGGTGTTTGATGAACATTTTTTTAAAGTGTAATGTGAAGAATGACCTAAAGTAGAATATAGGACAATGAATACTTCTAAAAAAATAGTTTAAAAATAAAAAATGGACTTTATTCCTTTTTTATTTGATAATTGTTTTGTAGACAATTGAGACGTTTGCATGTACATTTACACGAAATGCAATTTTTTTTATTCGATACCCGAAACGTAAGTTAAACATTTTTTAACAAAGAATTATCATAAACAAAATGTTAATTTTTATGACCTATATTTTAGTAATTCCATAATGTGCATGCCTAACATGCAAATAAACATAGTCAAAATTTCAAGATATTGAATCAATAAATAAATGGCAGAGACATGGATGGATGGATACGTAAAGATGAAAGTGGGGTGCAAATTGGAAGCACACGGAGAAGATGTGGTTTCCTTTTTACAAGCAGTGGTTTTCTAAGGTACAAGCGCAGACAACCAGAAAATTGTGGCTGAGCCATGCCCCACATTCCCTTCCTTTCTTCTTCTTCCCACGCTTCCTACAAATCATTCCTCCCTCCCACGTTTTACGTCAGCCATGGAAAATCCCTACACTCCTCAATCCTACCAACATCGTTTTCGTCTTCATCCTCTTTGATTCCATTTCCCTGTGACTTCCCGATTCCAGATTCTGCCCCATTTTTCTGGATTCTTGTTTCATTTGCGTTTCCTCTGGTGCGTCTTCTTATCGCGCCCCTGGCCCCTTTCTTACTTTCCTCTTTGCTCTTTGTTCGAGTTTCGAGTAACAGGAAGCCATTATCACTGATCCATCTTTTGGATACACGGCTAGGATGATGGAATAAACCCATTTTTCCCCAACAACGAATCGGAATACTTTGTAGTGTCTATTTAGTTTTCCTTGTGATTGCTGTTTAAGTTTTCATATGGTTGAACTTAGGCAGCTAATTCCGAGGTTCTCAACTTATGTCTAACTTCTTGATATCCACTACTTGCCAATATATGATAAAGTGGAGGGCGGAATTTTTAAGCTTTCTGATTTTTCTTATAAATAATATTTTGGTACCTAACTACTACACCAGCAAAAAAGCTGATGAATAAACATGTTTTTTTTTTTTTTGCAATAATTCAGCAGGAGATCGCATCTGGTTTGATAATGCTGTCCATAAGGCTTCACTATTTGCATTTTGACATGGAATGAGGATGTCTGGGTCTGCTCAGTAAGAGTGACCTGTTTCACAAGAGGGTGTAAGGTCATATTCCGCTGCACAGGAGTTGGGCTGCTTGGTTTTCCTGGTACAGTTGGTAAATGAAATTACCAATTCATGTGCATCAATGTGCTTGAAACAAGGCGTTGATTAAAGAGGGTGAGTGAAGAAAGAAAGTTCAACTTGAAATTTTTGAAGAACTGTGTTCTCAAAACAGAAATGGGGTTACCGCATATACCTTCAGGCTGTGTTGCCGAAGAGGTGGCATCATCACTGGGCACTCTTGTGCAAACCCCGCCAAGAATTGCCAACTTTAGCAGCTATAATTTGAATGCATTGCCTGGAGAAGACCTAAGTAATTGCATGCATCTTGATAAGCTCATCACTGAGAGGAAAACAGTTACAGACCTTTCAAAGGAATCATGTTTTTCAAAAACGCCTAATGATGGTAGCTCCAACCCGCAAAAATTGAAGCTCAACTCCATGGAACGAATTGGCAGGTTGTCTGCCAAGGCTGGGCATCAGACTACACATGTACCTGCTTCAAGGACTGTAGGTTTCCAACTAAGGGCATTATCTCCCTCTGTTAATGATTGTGGTGGAAATGGATATCCCTCAACCCTTCGTAATGTTAACAGAGACGCAAGTGAGGCTACTAATGTCAGAAAGCGATTATTGTCGCCCTTGAATGGGATGCTTTCTGCAGACCATTTTAAAGCAGATCCTCTGGACATTGACAGTGGCACATATAGTGCTTGTCCAAACAGTGGTGATGACAATTATAAGGCTCCTGTTCTGCAAGAATATAAGAAGGTTCATATTTCGAACTCTGACTATCTCCAGACTCCTATATGGTCTCAATCTTGCTTTCTGGGTACGGCAAATTCATCCAGTACTGACACTGGAGAAAACCATGTCCTACCCATTTGTGATCTTTCGCTTTGCAAAGATGAGAAGCCATGTTCTTATATTAAACTTGATAGTCCTGAAGAGACAACTAACATAAGTTCCGAAACGGCAGCATTGTCTATACCTCACAAAAAAGTGTCGACGCCAACTTCCTTCCCTTTATCTCCTCTAGGTCCAAAATTTTCTGAAATAACGAAGTTGAGAGGAGAACGCAGGGATGTTACAATTATGTTGGATGATGACAATGTCAATTTAAAGGACATGGAACTGTCACTTGGTAGAACTCTTACAGGCCTTTTATCTGCCCAGAAGGAGGACAACTTTAGCATGCCAAGTAATTTACTGCAAGAGTCTAACCATTTGCAGCAGACGCTCAACATGATCACTTTTGATGATACCAGAGGCATGGAAGAATGTTCTCATGGTGCAAGTTTTCCTCCTCGGCATGCCAAGTTCAGAACTTTAAGTGGACTGCCTATAAGAAGGTCCTTAGTTGGTTCATTTGAGGAATCCCTGTTGTCTGGTCGTTTACTCTCCGGGAAAGTTAGCCAGGTTGACATTATTTTTATTTACGATCTTTCTTTTTCTTCTCTGCATTTATTTATAATGTAGTTGGCATTTTTTGAGTTATGTTCTTTTTATTTTAGCCTTAAATGTTAACCACCAATTTGCAGAGAATTGACGGCTTTCTTGCTGTGCTGAATTTAACTGGAGGAAACTTCTCGCCACAATCACAGAAAATTCCATTTGCAGTAACAAGTGTGGATGGAGATAAATACCTGTTGTATTATTCATCCATTAATATTTCAGGAAAGCTGATGTCGAGTAATTATAGAGTAAGCAAAGTTCAGAGAACCCTTAAAATGGATGAATCCCGAGCTGAGAAGAGCCGCATACGTATCCCTATGAAAGGACGCATTCAGCTGGTACTTCACTAGTAAACCTTCCAGTTGCTTAATTACTGAGAAATGAAAGCATAATGAGTTTTTACCAAATATTGTTATCAGCATGACAAGCAGCATGATAAAGTGTGAATTTAGATTACGGAGGTAAATGAGTATAGTTTATGCTGGTCTGTAGGGTAATTTCTCTGAAATTTCAGCATCAATAATGGCAGCATTAGTTTCTACTTTCTAGTATGCTATATTTACCATAAATATTGGAGTAATGTTACCAACTCTGGTAGTGAATTATAATTTTGTCCTCTGCTACCTATGATTCCATAAAAAATTATCGCTGAGGTTTCTGGGCTAATGAAATGAAACTGTGAACGACATATCTTCATGAAAAAGGAAATGTGACCCTTGGTATCTTCTATAATGAAAAGATAACTGACTTTACTAGTTACGTAGTACCATTACCCATCTCCACTTACTGGAAAAAATGCTGAGGACTAAAACGAGGTTACACTCCCAGTAATTTATTCCTATAGTGATGGATGGTTTCAAATGATGTCACGCAAGATGCATTCAGGATCATTACCACTGGGGAAACAAGTTATGCAGATAGATCATTGGTTATTTTTAACATATGCAATTCTGGACAGGAACACTCAAAATTTCACCAGTAGCTTCTTGGATATATGTTTTCATGGTGGAACTGTGCATGTTGTGCAGGAGTTGTGTGTGAAAAATGACTGACCTTCTAACTGTAGGTCCTCAGCAATCCAGAGAAGACTCCCATTCACACCTTCTTTTGCAATTATGATTTGTGCGACATGCCCGCTGGTACTAAGGTGAGGAATTTTATATTCAAATCTTTTAACAGCGTGCACTAATCCATTTTGCGATAATTTGCTTTACATGAAAATTGCAAAATTTAAGCCGAGGGACATGTGAAGATATTGATGTCTATGTATAGCAATCATTGTCTTCAATCTTCATATATTGAATGCAGATGTTCAACTTCTCATGTTAAATGATTAAATCCCACATATCATAGTCAGGCATGATGATGTTTTTTATGTAAAGGGGGATTCCCTATCCTTCTACAACAACAAGAAGCCTTATACCACTAGATGGGGTCGACTATATGAATTATACGATGCCATTGTGCTCTATCATTTATCAAGCTTATAGAAATGTTGTTACTTAAGAAGTCTCGATCAACAACTTTCGAAAGTATTTTTTTTAGCTTTCCTTGACCTCTCTTGACAGGGTTCAAAGTTATCTATTTCACTCTCCTCACAAGTGTTTCTTGTGGTTTTTTTTGTACATGTTTAAACCATCTCAAATGATTTTCTATCATTTTTCTTTCAATAGACGTGATGCCCACTTTTTCCTGTATATGCTCATTTTGAATTCTGTTTTTACGTATATATCCATACATTCATATCAACATTCTCATCTCTGTTACTCCAACTTTATGCTCTTACTGTCCCGTTAAAGGCCAACGTTTACTACTAAGGTGAAATTTTAGTACCATAGTTTGATTTGTTTTTTATGTGAATATCTGAACTAGACATTCTTGCGGCAAAAGATCAGTTTGATGTCATCTGGTTTGAATTCTACTACTGGGAAAGAAAGCCAAGGAGATTCTGACATAAGAGTGGGTGCTAAGTCCTCAACGATCTCAAATGCTAGCTGTAGAGATAAAGATGTTCTGAACTTAGAATGCGGTGGATATGGTCGTTGCAAACATACAAGTGAGTGCAACAATGGAGTTCTGCTTTACGCCCTTCACCTCCGCTTCTTATGCCCTTTGCCTAGGAAACGTTCAAGGGCAGTTCATAAGTGCCAATCTGATCCTGTGTCAGCAGAAGTGAGCCATATTACAGACGTTGAAGATGAAAGGCGTTTCTACTTGTATGACGATATGAGGGTAGTGTTTCCTCAACGTCATTCAGATGAAGATGAGGGCAAGGTATGTGAGAGTTTTTAAGAGGAACGTAAAAGCTTTCTGCACTAAATTTTGATTCTTCCAAATTTTATTTAATGTCTCATCTAATCATAGTCTTCTCTTGTTTTACGTTGCAGTTACATGTGGAATATCATTTTCCTTCTAATCCAAAATACTTTGACGTCAGCAGCTGAAATGACATTGTTTTTCTCTCGAAGTGGTTATTGTATATGCAGTTGTAAATATTTGTACATATCCAATTCATTTCCTCTCGGGCACTTGGTGGCCAATTCCCCCATTCAACTTGTAAATTACACAGTTAACGTTCATATTGATTCAAAATTTTAGATAGCAGAATCTGTACAAGAAGACTTGGAGATGAAGGTGGAGATTGGTAGGCCACGGAAATTAGCATAATTTTATAGAGGAAAATCAAAACTACAAATAGTAACGAATTGGATATAGTTATACATTCAGAGAGAGCGAGAGATGTAAAAAGTTCTCTCTAATTTTCTTAACACATCTTTCTTTTCTTTTATTTTAAATTGATTATATTATATAATAATTATGAAAAAATATAATTTTAAACCCCTGCACTTTAATTAAGTTTTATTATAGATTTTTACAATTTTTTTATGTTCTAAATTTTTATACTTTTATTTTTTAATATTTTAGGTCCTTTTATGTTTTTCCAATAACTTTTATTATTTAAAAAATCTGCACTAAGAAACTGATGCACGTTTTTCAATTAGAGAAAGGCAAAGATGAATGAAGTTGATGGAGCTTTTCAAGTAAGAAATCACTTCAGTTTGCACAGAGACCAACGGAAAGAAGAAAAAACTAATTGGGAGAATGAAGCTAAAAGTAAAACGCATATTAAATTAGCAATGAGCGAGTAATACCATTTCTTGACAGATAGCTGCTCCCAAACAATAATCTCCTGGCCACCAAAAAAAAAAGGGAAAGAAAAAAGAATCTTTGACAGTAATCCATAAGATTAAAGATAGAACGTCTAAGAAAAGGAAGACGAGTGTTTTCTAAGCAATGAATTTATAACAAACTGGCAAGGCAGCAAAAAGGCTCACACTACGTAGTTTTGGCCATTTAAACTACTACATTTACAGAGAGGGTATCTTACGGATATCCACAATTTAGGAATAGATGTTGGGTCTAGCCATATACCAGTAATTTAAAATTAAGCTAGAGGACCAGCCTTATACTGAAAAATTCCCTTGCTTCAACAAACATTCAAGCATATCGTATCGTACGTGTCAAGACACAATTTCAATTGAAGGCCAGGAAGAGGAGATAGAAATGGAACACGAAACTCCATGTGGAAGGAAATTTTACAGGTTACTTGATCGTGATATAGCGATTTGTTCCATGTCTTGCCCAGTAGTCCTTGAGATCCAATGGCATGGATAAATCCCGGCCTTGCGCGGCCACCCTGCTAAGAAGTCTTGTAAAGACACTTCCACTCATCTTTCGCCCCCCAACTCGCGCATGTCGCTTATTAGGAAGCTGTGGTAGTGGATACATGGATAAGGTGGTGGTACAACAAGATGACTGCCACCCACCGTTCCCCCATTTGTAGCATTGCCGTGGAACTCCGGTACATGTGCAAACGGGGGCTGGCATGGTATTCTCATCAAATTGAATCAAATTCAAACCAACATCCTGTTTATCCCACTCAGATTTGATTTTTGTCACTTCAGAAGAAGCCCTCCTGTTTAAGTCCTTACTCACTTTTTTACCTTTGCCTGACGGTTTTGACACCTTAGAAGAATCTGTTTTGTCATCCCTTGTTCTCTTAGCCTGGTCATACTTGCCTGCTTCAGAAGCTACAATAGTTACTGGGAAAGCATCAGTTGTGGTCAAGTCCTTTGTTCTATAAGCAGTTTCTGCCATTTGACTGAAATGATTGGAGGAATGGTGCAACCTCTTTGATCCACGTTGAGTGCCACAACCCAATGAGAAGTTGGTAGCATTATCCTGGATTTGTAGGGCAGCAAGAGCATTATCCCGTTCCATCAAGGCACTATCCCTCTGCAGGAGTGCTTCATCCCTCTGCCGAAGGGCTTCATCTCGAGCAGCCAATGCTTCATTCTTTTCAGATAAAGCTGCATTCCGTTCTCGAATTGCCGCTTCTCTCTCAGCAATAACAGACATAATCTTCTTATTCATAACCAAGGCATTCGGTTCCTTTACCTGATGTTGGGGAGCCATACTCCACTGCACAATTAAACTTCAGTCCAATGAAACAATTCCAGTAGAGCATGCTTAAGAAAAACATAGCAAAATTTAAGCATTCTATTTACCAGGGAATGAGCTCCTCTGTAGTAGTCCACCTTCTGCCTACCATTTTCACGCTGGTGGCCATCATCCATCTTGCATCCAGGGGATTTAGCCACAGATGGAGAAGTTCGTGCAAGCAGTCCAAATCAAAATTTACAGCTAACAAATATGAACAGCAACAGCATGACGTACAGTCAATCAACAACAAATTTGGTTAGACAATTTTTGGGGAGGATGAAAGGCGCAACCTTGTAAAGCAGGCTAGCATAACAACCAAACCCTTAGGTAGTGCCAGAGTGAAACATTCCCAAACATCGGTCTAGACTTCTAGTATAATTTTTCAAAGGTTATCAACATTATAAAAATATAAAAGCAGTTATTTATTTGACCTCATGTACTACATATAAAAGCAGAAATAATGATACAATTTTGTTAGACAAGAATATTTCCTTTAACAAATCATTGAGCTCATGAATTTAAAATGCTACTACAAAGCATAGTTTGAAGAGCTCTCTCTTCTCTTGGATGAACCAAAAAGATAACAAAAGAGAAAAGAAGAAAGAAAAAGGGCATGAAATTTTATAGAAATAAAACTCCAGTAAAATATAAATAGAGCAGAAACCTTCAAATTAGACCTTTCACCAAGAATCCAAGATTACTAAAGCTAACCTATTTTTTAATTTAAAGCAAAAGGTCACTTTCCCCCCTTAGCCACGTATCTTAATAAATTCCAGTGAGTGATAGAAAACCTGAACTCTCTATTATGAAAATACTCTAGAGTAAGAGTCAAAAGCAACCTAAAGACACGGGCAAATGATGATTACAGTAATATTCTTAGAAAAACTGCAAAACTTCAGTTCTCTACCGTGGTTGTCTATTCTTACAAGAGGACAAAGAGTTGCAATCAATACAATTATCTATCACCATTCAGTTGTGACCACTTATATATCAATATATGATAATAAAACCCAGTTTGGGGATTTTAAAAACATTTATAAATTGAGTTGAAAGTTTCATACATGGTTATACAAGATTTTGGCCCAAGTTTCAACTTCTCCACAATAGATATTAGCATTCTATCAGAAAATTCAAACTCCAGAAAATTGAGTTTTCAGTTTTAAACTCTCAAACACTCGGCATAAGGGAAGAAAATATATACATGAACGACAATCATACAAATAATATTTGAATTTGTAGTCACATTTCTGTGCTAGTCACTGGACTTATGGCGTAATGGGATTCTGGGAAAGCTTCAAATCATTCACTAAAGCCTTATCCTAGCTCTCCAGCACTGTTGCACAGCAGTATATTCCTAGCAAACCATGTAACATGCGTAGCTCGAAAATTTTGCAATTAACAAACTCCTGCACAAGCTAAAACAAAAATGCATGCAATCTACATGTCAAAATCTAATACTGAAATGCTAGCTTTCCCCAATTGGAACTGAAATGAATGTCGTGCTACAAGTAAGAATTAATAAAGCATAATCATACGTAACTTGCACTAAAGTTAGGGCGCTAAAGCCAGGGTCAAAAGCAGACAAATAATATACCTAGAAAGCTAGGAATACGTACAATCTGATAATTACGAAACGAGGGTGGAGAAGAAAAAAAGTCAAGTTACAAATGTAACCTGAGAGAAGACTTACAGGTAACCCACCAGTTACACCGTAGGCAGCGCGGCAGGACTCGAGTCCGAAAAGGGATGGCTCAATTCTCCAACTTGACAGTGAGAGGAAGGAGAGGGAGAAGATTTTGCAGATTGCATTTGATGTCTAGCAGGAACAAGCAAGAAACGACTTGTCGCTTGGTCCTATAAAGTATAAACGTTTCGCTTATTCATCAAATTCAACACAGCCTTTTTACTTTTCAGCTTTCCCCCACGGACGGGGATCGGCCCTCCAGTTCCCCTTTGTGAAGCCACGCCATATGGAATTTTTATTATTTTATAAAGCGACAATGAATTAATTTTAAATTTTAAATCAAGAAATTATTGTTTAAAAAAAAATTCCATGAATGATAAAAAATTTTGATACAGTATCTAGTATCCGATAATACTCAGTTAAATTTAAACATTATCAAATCAAAAAACAATTGGAAAAGATTATGAGAAAAAAAGAAGAAGAAAATGACTCATGAGCATTCTCACTTCATATTATTTCCTTTTCATTTGATGGATGCTTTATTATCTAATCGGCTGAAATTTAAACCTTGAAATTTTTTCTAAAAATCATTGAAATTGAATACAACACCTGTCCTGTAGCCATGTACAGGAATTAGATTAGCTAGTATACTTGAGCGCTTGGCAGATCCAAGGCCATGTATAATAAGATTTATGATATTTTAATTGAATATTGAACCTGGTCCTGGTTAATCATGTTAAGATAGCGCATTGTCGACAATGGACCCTGCGCCATCTTCATTCAACTGGTTAGAAGAGGCCTCCTCGTCAACGTGATTGTCGTCGACGGGGTATCGTGTGTTTAATTTTAGTATTTTACAAACCAAATTTTGATGGTTTCTAACATGAAACTCTGAATATATACCCAGACTTTCATGAATCTTGATCTAAAAATGGCCACGATATCATCACTCTATCCCATGTTATGAACTTATAATCGCCGTAGCTTGCAAATGACATGGCTTATTGTTGGTTCAAGGGAGTTTCTCATGTGGGGGAAGAACACAATGATTTCAAGATAATACATATAAGTGAATATACCAACGTATCTTAACCTAAAATCTTAAAGTATTAAGAGCTCTTCTTCTTCTTTTTTTCATTCACTGAAAGATAATTTGTTAAGTTCACTTAGCAAAAATTAATTTAATAAAAATCAGTTATTATAATAAAATTTATATTTGAATGCATTTTTTTAAATGTCAATGATTATATAATATGAAATTTTTGTTATAAAGTACAATTTGGAAAATACATGTAATTAAAATTTTAAATAACATAAAATTTAATATATTGAATAATAAAACTAAGATTAAATAAATAAAATAAAATTTGATAGGTTAACCAGGACGCTGAATGTTCCTAATCTCGCAAAACAGTACTTTCCTTTATTTGTCTGTCTGACCAATTGAATACAAAGCAATACTGGGTAATTACTTCTCTTGAGCTAATGAAATTTTAGTTTAATGTCAATAGTAGCTTTCCATATCACGTTTTACCTTGTCTCTGCAATTTGTGGTTCGTGAAAAATTACAAGCTTAACAATATAAGAAAAACTTTGGTAAGTAATAAAGGTAGAATGGTAAAATAAAAGTAAGTCACTCCCTCCCAACTCCCAACTTCAAATGGAAACTTAAGTGAAAGGAGTTTTGAGGAAATGGATCTCCAGTGGCTTTTTCAATGCACTTCGAACAAAATTTTGTAAACCAAGTAACTTAGCATTTGAATATCCATGGAAATACTCTACAAATGTTGAAAGTGGATTATACAAACACATAATAAATTTATGAGTCTTTCACACACACGCACTGACACACGAATCTTTTTCAGGTCAATTCCAGTCCACCTAAAGGCTTTTCCCGTGTTAAGTCAACTCAACTCATATTTGACGTATCAACACTTATAATAAATACCTAAAGGCTTTTCCCGTGTTAAGTCAACTCAACTCATATTTGACGTATCAACACTTATAATAAATTTTATACATACATACATACATACATACATATAGGTATATGTAAATTTAACAAAACAAAATTGCAAAAAAACATGAAATTGTATTAATATTAAAAAAATTTACAACTTTTTAAAAATATAATATTTTTAAAAGGAGAAAGTAGCAGAAATAGATAGAGGTGTTTTTATTATTATTTCTTATATTAAAATATGTAAGGTATTTTTAATCGACTTTTACTCCTCAATTAAGTAATTACATATGCTAAATTAACATCATTTTTTATATTTATCTTTACTTAATAGATTGTTTTACTTTAAAATAAATATAAATTAATTTATTTATTATGATCACTTTTAAAAAAATATAATGATTACATCTTAAAATATTAAATACATCTTATATTTTTAAATATTTAGGCTCTCAAAATATTTTACATTTTTAAATAAGAGAATAATAAACATGAGCAACAAGATCATGAAGTGTGACTATCTGGACTTGCGAAAGATGGCAATAGCAATACGTCGGTGAAAAAACGAATTGAAAAGGTTTTGAGAGTCATTTGAGAAGATTAGAAAGGGTGAATTGCTAGAGCGAGAGTGAATTTGGCGCAGTGCAATGAAATGAAGACAACGCTAAATGTTACTGAAAACCTTATCAACAAAACAAATAAACAGTGATGACTGACAGGAATCTTCAAGTACAGTATTCCCTGAGAATGCGTACAGACCTAGCAATGCTAGCAGCACAAGTTTCCCTCTCAATATTTTTAATTACTTTGTCCTCTCCTCCGGAAAATATATACTATATATCAGCAATACTCGTGACATTGTTATGAAAAGTGATAGTTTTCCGTCGCCGATGATAAAATATAAATCGCTCCACGATTCAAATCCAAACAATTCAATCTCTTGCCTGGTTTAACCTCTTTGTAATCTGAGTAAACAACTTTTATTATTATATTAAAAAATATATTTTAATTTCCTGCACTTTACTGCCATTTTATTATAAATTTTTATACTTTTTTAGAGTGTTATGGATCCGTACCTTTTTATTTTTTAGTGTTTTAAAAATTTAGAACACCAACAAATAAAAAGTGTAGAGTTTTGAAACATAAAAAAAAAATAAGAATTTATAGTAAAATACTAACAAAATATAGGGGCATAAAATTATGTTTTTTATTATTATATTCATGTAACTTTAGCTTTGAGATGGTTTAGCAGAGAGGGATCACACTTTTCATAATAAAAATCCTATTAAAAATAGAATTATATATTTTTCTAATCGCCTACCGACATAATTTTCAGGTCCTAAAAAATTTACTTATTAATCATGAAAACAAAGACAAACATGCATGTTTTAAAACACCAAAAAATAATAACTCAAACTTTTCTGAGACAGGCAAAGTTCATAGGTTGAATAATTGAAGCATATGCTTCTCGCCAAACAAAAATTTCATTTTTCCTCCGTTAAGATATGTAGACAAAGCGTGAACAAGTTTGGGGCATAAACTTATGAAAAAAAAAAAAAAAGTAGCTTTTGACACTGCCTCGAAGTCCAATGGGCATAAATAAAATTATGATTGTCATGGGGAGGAAATAGTGAGAAGCAAGAGGGTGAGCAAAAATAAATAGTTCATAATGGAGAGCAACATCTATTATTTGGTATTTGGTACAGTAATCCTGTGAACTTACCAAACTGGGACACCTTGGCCCCATCCTCGTAGGCATGTTTCTTTCATCATATAGGGGAATTCAGATTGTAATTATTAAGCTTCCCACTGATTTTTCTTGCTTTTGCAGCCAAGAATGCCATGATCTGATCCTTCCCCGTTCTCAAGTACTTTCTATATCAGACTGTAAGCGATCTTTCGCATATGACAGTCTACGTTTTAAGAATTTACCAGGCATTAGAAATATGTATAAGCATGTGATTCTTAAACATTTTAAAAATGAGTTAATTCTAAAACTGGAAAGAAAAAGATGTATTACTAACCTTCAACCAAGAAGTCAAGGGTCTTTTTCTAATTTCTCCTTCGCCTTCTTTCACATGATTTGCGCGCAAAAAACACTGAAAATCTCGGAATACACGCTGAATTGATAAAGATTCGCCGGCTACAGTTGTCATAGGCATATCAATTTCGATTGGGATCACGACAACGGAAAATTTGGTTCAGTATTCCGGTGAGGCAGTAGAGCAGAGAATTTCAACAGATGATCTTTCAAAATAATAATAATAATAATAACAATGATAACGATAATGATAATGATAATCTTCTTTTTTTTTTTTTTCCCTGAAGCTATAGCATTCAAGACTCGAGAGCAAAACGGGTTTAGGTAGGTCCTTGTTAAGGCAACAGCCAACAGAAATGCAATTTTGGGCAACCCATAGACAAGATGCACATGATCGCGAACAAATGCACATGGTGCTCACAGAAAATTGAGTGGAGGTCGTTCGGAACACTTTAATGAAATTTCCACTGACCAACCCTCTAATAATCAAATCAAATACCAGATTACCAATTAAGGTAAAGCCGGAAAAAGGACACCCCAAGGCAATCTGTCACGATGATTAGGGTCAAGTGGCCTTTGGGGTAAGTATCTACTCAAGGAAGCAACATCCTAAGATTATCAATGTTCAAGATACAGAATGGGGTTTGTAACTCAAGGTAAGCACTAATAGGCAAACATCGATCATCCGAATCAGTCATACGGACATAAGATATGCCATTTTTTCTTCTGGCAACCTAGTTTGTGGGAAACTGCGTTCTTTTCAGAACCAACCCTATATCATGTGATAGAAGCAAAAGCATTTAAAGCAGGCTGCAGAGCATATCAGAATTTAGAGAGATCAAGGTATCACGACTGAGCTCTGCTTACAAGGCGGACTCACTAGGTAGTTGGTACTCCATTGTAATTGTCAAATCAATAACAAACTATCCAGAATGTAAGTGGATATTCCCATGTATACAAATTAACTCAATTTCGACTAGGTCACATTCTACATCAAGTCCCTAAACAAAAGAGAAGTGATCACAAATTATTAACATGAAAAGAAAAAAAGGAAGAAAGAAAAACTGAATAAATTATCATAAATGCAGATCAATAAATCAACTCCTGCTCCTTTATCCATTGTTTGGAATTTGAAGGAAAGTTTCATCTTAAGGATCTTGCAAATGCTCCCCATATCTTTGCACGACCAAGGCTATCCAAGAGTTTCTTAGACCCCTCAACATCCATCCCTACAAGTTTTCGTGTATATTCACTGGCACCAGCTGCTGCAATTTGCTTTTTACAATTCTTAGAATGCACAAGTGATAACAGAATGGAAACTGGGAATTTCTTGTCCAAATTCTGTATTGACGGATCCAAAAGCTGAACCGCACTCATTATACCCCTCTCATCCTTCAGGAAAATCCTTCTATTGCCCGTATATAACATGAGTGTTGACAAAGCCATTGCAGCTGCTTCTTTCTCTTCTACGGCTTTGCCATCCAACATCTGGATCAATGGAGTAATGCATCCACATTCGCCCATCTCCTTCTTCGCCTTTGTGGTGCTGGACCCCAGAGCATAAACAGCTCGAGCGGCCGCAATTCTCACCCTCAATACACCACAATGTAACGCGCCCACGAGTCTCTGGATGAACCCATCTGAGATAAGAAGTTCAGCAATCGATGGGCTTGATGCCATGCACCTCAATAACTCAATCGCAACTTCAAGACTCTGAACGGACGGAATTGAGTCCCAGAAATTCTTCAAACACTCAATCCCTCCTTCCTTAGCACACATTAATTTCAGAGTTTCGTCATCAGAAATTAGGTTAGACAAACAACCAATTGCATTTTCTTGGGCTATTGCAGTACCCGAAGAAGCGAGCTCTAGCAGAACAACAACCGCATTCTCCTCGACGAAGTTTTCTCTGACTTCAGGGAAAACGGCAAGATTTCTCAGAACTCCAGCTGCGGAAGCTTGGGAACCCGGCGTGCCTACTTGGCAAATGTCCAATAGGGAAGAAATACCACCTCTAGACCCGATTGCCCTAGCGTTCTCTTTAGAGAACGTTAGAGCTTGGAGGGCAATACAGGCTTTCTCTTTAGCAAACCCACTTCCATGGTCAAGAACTCGAAGAAGATTATTCAAAAGCACTAAACCCTCGGCGATTAATGCATATGTACTGCTATCCACCGTTGAAACTCTGGATATCGCGGCGACGATCTTCTCCTTCATTTCTGAAGAGCTCGAATCCAGTAAGCGAACGAGCACGGGAACCACGCCCTGTGCCACAGCTATCATCACATTCTTATCATCCTCATGTAGTAAACCCAGAAAGGAGCCCATAGCCGAAATCCTAGAATCCGACGACCCAATTTGCAAACGAGTGATCAAATTTCTGGATTCAGATCGAGCAGAGTCCCTGTTAGAGGCAGTTGAAACGGCGTCGTCCAGGAGGACGCCGCTTTTGAAGAGAACGTCGCAGTCTGCGAGATGGCGATCGAGGCTGGCAAGGAGGGAGTCAATGAGGCTCTGGGTCTTGAGTTTTCCGCTTGACAAGGTGGGGAACTGGCAATCCTTGACGAGGGAAACGGCATCGTTGAGGGTGTGGGATACGGAGAGAAGAAGGTCTAGAGAGAGAGAGTTCGAGGAGGAGGAGAAATCGGCAAGTCGAGAGTGAAGAAGGTGAAGTTTCGAAGTGATGAGGGACCACTTGCCTTTGAAGTGAAGGACGGTGGGGGTTTCGGCGAGAAGAAAGGAAAGAAGGTGATCGGAGACAGTGATAGGATCGGAGTCGGAGGGGTCGGTTGTTGTCATACTGTTCCAGGGGAAGCCCGAGAAAGAGCTAAAAGAGAAAACAACTTTACGGTTGAGAAATAGACGCAGCTATTTGAGGCACTGTTCTGTTAACACCGAAAATCTATCGGACTTGATTCCCGCCATTTTGTATTTTTAATGCAAGTTATGTTGATTTGATCAGTTTATCAGATCACGTTACGGCTATCAATTTCTTTTTTTTTTTTTAATGAAGGATTTACAGTTTCATGATTCTTGCTGATTTCCAATTAATATAAAATATTTACTTTTCTAAACTAAGAGCGAATTTTAATTAGATATAATTAATTATAAAAATAATTTATTAATACAATTAATTTTTATTATAATTAATTATATTATAACACAATTTATTTGAATATTTTTAAATTAACTTTAATAGAATTGAATATGATTAAATATTTTAATCAGAATTAATTTTAACTATATAAATTATCATAAAAACCTTACTTTTTAAAATTAAATTATTGATAGATTTATGCATAATATTATTAAATTTGTTAAATTTTATTTAAGAAGTAAAATATATTATTTAAATTATATATTTGATTAATTATAAAAAATTAAATTATATTAATATTAATAATTTAATTTATGTAAATAAATAACTTAATATATTTTAATTTAAATAAATTTAATAAAATAAAAATATTTAATTTTAAAATATCAAACATCAAATTTTATAATAATTAATAAAAATAGTAATATATAAATTAATTTCTATATAAATGAATATAAATCATATTGGATGAAAATGTTTCGTTTTATGTGGGCACCTTTGAAATACATTGAACATAAACTGAAAAATAAAAGAAAGAAAGAATACGCCTTCATTTACATTCAACAGATATAGCAGTATAGCACTAGCACAGGTCTTGACAAGAGTTTTTTTTTTTTTTTACCAACACGTTGATCAAACGCCAGCATTATTGACCACGTAGCTAAGATGTATACTTCTTTTATTTTTATTTATAAAAAAAACTATCATTTTAATTTATTTTTTATAAAAATAAAATTATATTTTTTAATAAGCATTTATTACAAACTTCTTAAATTATCTATCATAATTTTATCATTCAGAGTCAGATGAGACAATTAATTAAGATTTAATTAACACAATTAATGAAGAATATTGTAATTCAATCCTTTTATTTACAAACATAATTAACTAATTTTTTTAAATTATATAATACAGTTTTTTTTTTATAAATAAGATCGGAAGGAGTACCATTTAAAGCTGCCGTCAACTTTGCTATTTATTATCTAAGGTGAAAATTTATTTCAAAAGCTCAGTGAGACAGCTCAATTAAAAAAAAAATATTCTTCCTCTCAATAATCGATTACCTATTTAAACTTGTGTTTGGATAATTTTTTGAAAAATCAAATTTTTAACACACAAAATTGATTATTTAGCTAATCCAACCACACAGTAAAACTGTACAACAGCTATTTTTAAAGGAAACGAAATTTAGATGTTAATTTATACGAATATTATATTATTTACTCTTAACAAGTCTTTTAATACATGTTAAAATTATAGCCATTTTTTTACCCAAAAAAATAAAATTATGGCCATTTTATTTTACTTCTTGACCTATATCTATCGCTCCTGCTGTGATAAAAAAAATAATTAAAAGATTATGTAGATAAAAATATGTTAATATGTTATTAAAAAAATTAAAAAAAGTCAGTAGTTACAGTCAAACATCCTTTAACTGTTTTAACAAAATGGAAAAAATGAAACCTTGTTATATTTAACAACTTATTAATTATGCAATGATTAAACGCTAATTTAAAAATTATATAAAAAAATATGTCTATGATACTATAAAAATAGTTTTTAGATATTAATATCATTAGTTTCGCCAAGTATTTTTTTTTATATGCACGTCTGATTAATTAATTGGGCATTTTTGAACTTAATGGGAGGGAATGACCTGTGCATGTGTTTAATCTGTTTTTCTCAACAAATTTAATTAATCCAGATCTGACCTACATCGCACCCCTATCTATGGTGGGTAGGTTTTCTAATAGGAGAAGAGTTTTTTGCATACACAAAATTTAAACTTGAGATTTTGTTTAAATAAAATTGAGTTACTTATCACTTAGACCAACCTAATTGGTTATTCATATTATGTTGATTGTTGAGTTAGCAAACCAAAAAAAGAGAACTGGTCAAAAAAATAAAATGAAAGAAGAAGCAGAAAACGGTTTACTGTATGTGAGATGGTTGTGGGGTTCGAAAAGCCTAATGGGCTTTGGGGCTTCTCCTTCACCGATCCACGATGCGTTTAGATCTCACTGTTTTTGGCACATAAGAAGGATAGACATCGTAAAGTGGAGAGCAAGCCGGGAGTCGATCCCTTCAAATATACTTTCTTACCGGGGAAGCTTGGAACAATGTATTTTGTTCCTCATTATGGCCCTCTGCTTCCTTCCCTCCTATCCTTCTTAACTTTTTTGCCTGTGACCACAAATTTTAAGTCAACCATAGTAACACCCCCCCTTTTTCCAAAACAAAAAATCTCTCATTTTCGCCCCTTAATTAATACTTTGATCCTATTGTTAACATATACATCTACCCAAGTGATGGATGTCAAAAACAGCTCACTACTTTGAAGTCACCCTCGTGATTGTATTTGATTTATTTCAACTCCAATTTTTTTTTTGTGGAATTCAAATTAATTCATTTATAAAGAGTGGTTTGTTGGGTTGATTAAAAGTCTGTTATAGATATCCATATTCTGGCTAAAAAAATAAAGACATTGGTATTCATGTGCAACGTGGTTTAAGAGTATATGATATGATTTGGAATAAGAATAATTAATGAGCGCATAAAGTGAGGAAAGAGAAGGAGTTCCAGCCCATTTGATGTCTCTGTTACTCCTTTTTGTAACTGATTTGATTGATTCTTGAAAACTCAATGCCCATGTGAAAGAATGTATAGAAGGATAAAAATAACATGTCCAGCTAGAATATCAAGGCAAGGCATGAAGGATACCCCTTAAAATGAACTCATCCGCCACATTAATTCGACATTTATGCTTGGTTAGAATGGGGGGGGGGAAGAAAAATATAGAGTATAGAATATTAGAAGAGAAAATTAAAAAAAACTAATAAAAAATTATTTTAAAGAACTTTACGTTCTAATATTCTTTCTTCTTTAAAATCTTCTTCTCATCCGAGCTAAGGATTAATTTTTTCATAGAATATAACAATATCCCTCCTGACATGTACCTAGGGAGTACAAGGAATGTGATAAACAGTGATTAATTTGGTATAATAAGTTTTAGAATCATACATGGCAAGCGGATTAATTGTTTCCAAGAAGACAAGGAATCTCACTTAGTCGTGGATAAGAGGGGTTATGCTTGCAATTTGTAAGCTTGAATTTTACACATGAAATTGATAGATAGAGTGAAAAAGGTAGGCATCATAAATAGGGATGATAATGTAATGAAGGAGAAATGTGATAGGGATGGAGTGAATGTCAAAACGAACAATATGGTTCACTCTCCCATTCATCCATGTGGTTGGTCCCTCTTTCCTGCGGAACATATTCATTGACATTGTAATGTAATGAACAATGGAAGGCAATTAAGATGGTATAAATATGGGGGTGTGCTCATGCAGGCTGGGGCATCAAATTAATCTACTCACTCAAATGTCTTCGATGAAGAGGAAGAGAGGGTGTTGCATGGAAACACAGAGTCATGTGTGGTAGCCAAGGATGGCTTGCCTAGCAATACATGTCCATTCAAGGAGTCCTTGTCCTCTTGTCTGGTTCTGTTTATGCTGGCAGGCATCCTCGGCTACTCCAATGATCCTTGTTTTTCATGTCACGCCCTCCATTCTTCCCACATTCTCTTCTTCTCTCACAATCATGATATACATTTTTTCCCCTCAAAGAAACAAGTCCTGGGAGGAGAAGAATTTGTTGTGGATTGCCATCCAATCAAACAAGAGCTGTTGAAGGAGGATGGAGGAACAGGTATGCATTAGATAAGATTCCGCCGACGGACATAAATCAATGTTTGAATGAGCCCGTATTCAAAGAGGCCTTCAACTTGCTGCTGTCCGTGTCTCTAAGTATATAAAATTTAATTATAACAAGTTGCGCGTTCATAAGTCATTAACAGTGTAACTTACTCCGAATTCTATACGAAATTTAGTTCCAAGTGAAAAGGTGGAACTTAATGGGGTTCAATTAAGTCTTTTATGAAAAGGGTATATGACGGGATTTATATTGTACTGTATATATTCCCTTGGAACTCGGAAGTTGGAAGCACATTCTACTATTATATATCGGTTTTTGATATATCAGACAACTATGTTCCGACTTCCGAGTATTATAAGTTGAATCCCAGAGAGAGGAAGGATTTATTCTTGTGTTGCGCTATTCTTTTACCGAAAAGAAAAAATTGAGTAATTCAGATAAGCTAGAGTTTATATTAAATTTCATAAATAAAAATTATTTTTACCCTGTATTCTAAATGTAAAATACAATCTAAACCATTTATGTTTTTCTTTTGTAGCATGTAAGGTGTTTAATTCTGAGTAGTTGAGTGCAGTCATGTCTATTCTTCGCAGAACAAAGCCAAGCCAGTACTAGCCTATTAGGCGTGCTTGGTGTCAACAGTTCCTACGTGCCAATGATTTTAACACAACGTAAAATCCATTTCTTTCAATCCGGTTACTCATCTTATCCTCGATAACCAAGCTGTTAAAAGTTCAATCCCTATCGCTGCAATTTATTACAATTAAAATGAAAATTCTGAGAAGTTGGGTTAGAGAGATGAACTATTGAGTTTCCACCCCTCTCGCATGAATGGGCATGTGGGGATTAAATTCAACAACCTGTTGTTTGTCAGCGACTTGGAATCATTCGTTTGCTCATTTTGATTTGCAAGTTCACAGAGATAATGATTCTCCCCTAGAAGCCAAGTCATTTTATACTTCTGCCAAATTACTTGACAACACTAGCAAGAAATATTGACCAAAGCAGTTACCCTCTTCAATTTCGTGATCCTAAATAACTCGACATATTCTTAATACATGGTATAAAGTTTGAAAAATAAATAAACAAATATACAAATAGAACGATATTTTCCTGTTGATTGTGATTTGAATCGTGACAGTTACCCCGAGAGAGAGACATAATTTGTTGGTTTTTATTCCAAGACATGAGAAAATTTCGTAGTTTATATTTGCCAACGGGAGGGAACCTCGATAAATTAGCACTTCGTTTATCTGTACAATCTTTGCTCTAAAAATATCTACCCTTTGTTGGAATCAAATCACTCTTATATATCGAATTAGCAACTTGAACCAGCCCAAAGCATCGCGCATACAGTACCAGCCTCCATACATGTTGCAAGATGATGAACACATGCAAAGAGTCGGATTTAAAAATCAAAAAACAAAAAAGAAAAAAAGATCTCCGAGGCAGTAAATTAAATGTTAGATCATTCATTTTCGAGGCTCATTAATGGATGTTTATAGAATCCGGAAGTTACCGCTTAGGTTGCTTCATTGCCGCTATGCAATCGAATTCCTCCCACCAAGACACACAGCTCCCCGTCTACTAGCTAGCAGGTGCTTGGTTTCCAATGATGCAATCATTTGACAGTTTACATTGTTGACCTTTGTCGTCATCACCTCACCACCTGAGTGCTCTATGATTAGCATACCAACAAATAAATGGCCAAGAGCGTGAGAAAATATTCAGTCCTCTTGGCAATTAGGAGGGCCCACATTGCTTTGAAGGAGAAAGAGGCACATGGGAAGGCTTACAGAATCAACTATTACAGACTAAACACATCACCAGGAAGACCTGAAAGGCAAGCAGTCAGAAACATTGCCTACTTGGATACAAAGAAAGCTAGTTTCGTCTCTCTCGTTGTCCAACAGTCAAACACCAGATTCTCAACAGCAGCAGAGAATAGAAAGTTGCCAGTGCAGAAATTGCAAGCAACAAGAGATTTAAAATATACTGGCTCCAACAAATCAGACAAAAATATGCAAGAAATTATAGCTAAATTACCCGAAGAATAACACTTCATATGACATGTGAAGCGAAACGAATTTGGCTTTTTACTTTTATTGCATCTCGTGGCTTGGGAACTCTTCCAAAAAATTATAGGCATCTATAAATACAAACAGGCCAAGAGCTCCAGAGGCACCCACAGAAAATGATATGAAGATTTATCCGTGTCCCCAATGGATGCAGACTACAGAGACGAAGTCATACAGCATTTCATTTCCTTTCTCGTTCAGAAAAATATTCTCTCCCATAATGGTAGCCTTTTGTACTTATGAATGATATAATTAGAATTAGTTCATTGGAACAAAAACAAAAACAAAACTACTTCAACAAAATTAACATCCATGTATGTACTTGCACTGGATTGAAAAAGATGTTTGGAAGTAAGAACATGTGAGGGACTAAGATTAGCCATTCTAAGCCAAACAGGTTATGGAAGAACATACTAGAGCTGGGTTCAGATGTCCATCTTAATTTGCTATGGCTGAGAATCCTCCAGTGCTACATTAGGCAAGAAAGGTAAAGAAGCTTATGAAAACCCCTTCCCGAGCTTCTGAATAGCACAGTACATTTTTCTTCTTGATCCAACAGCGTTTATTCCCATATCTTTAAGATCCTCCAGTGTCAACATGGGCAAAACCTCATCATCGACCTCGTGTATTTCGAATACAGGAGCATAACGACCAAGTCCCAGTCCATTAAGCCAAATCCTAACCCCATCTTCTCCACAACTCCCTCTTCCAGCATTCCCATTCCTATCCCCACATTTCCAGTCCCTCACATCAGTATCAGATGGGCCAGATAGCTCAATGCCATCATGATGTTCCCTACCCTCTGAAATCCTCGCCCTAATTGATCTCCTATTACCGTGATAATGCACCTCTCTGTCATTTCCATGACCTTCAACACCCAGATTCTCCAACGAATGAATTGGGCTTTGGTCTTTCAAGGGGCTATCCGAATTTTCTTTATCAAAATCCCTATATCCATCATCAATGTCTTCGCCGGCGCTATATTTTTCCTCCCCTTCCCCTCCGATGACTCCTCCTCCTCCTTCGTCGATTCTGGAAACCCAATTTGATCTGACCCGCTTGGTGGCCGTGGTACCTCTCTTTTTCGATTCTTTCACTTTCCAGCTACCAATCGCCACGCAATCCAAATTACTTTCTTTCTCGTCACCCTCTAGGGTTTCGCTAAAATCCACAAAACCGCTTCCAGAACTTAAATTTGTCAAAGGTCGAGTCTTGGAGGCTTTACCTGAGGCATTAGAGTCCTTCCTGTGATCGAGACCGAGCTTCCATGGCTTATTGCTCCGACGTACATGCGAATCGTACTGCTGGTCTCCGATGTCGCCTAATCTGACACTCGGCCTCCTTTGACGCTTGGATGGAGGGACGGGTTCGCAAGAGTTAACCATCAGCGTTCCTGCACCATTATTCATCTGCCCCTCTGGAGGCTGAATCTCCGCCATTTCTACCTGCTGGAGAAGAAACCTTGCGATTGAAAAATGCACAAGATTCGCTAATGCTTCTAGAACGGGTTCCTAAGGAATATGAAGACAAATTATGATGGAGATTTCGGGGAGCGAGATGGATTAGATTAGAACAGAGAGAGACAATAGTAACTACGGAGAGTCGAGTAGATGAAGAAGCGATACGAGTGCGTGTGACTATGTGCAGCGGAAGACCGCGACGCTTGGCCTCGGAAGTTTGATGAAATGGCTCGATTTACCCTTGATAATCTACAGTCCACAATATATAGCGACGCGTGTAAACACTATCGCTCGCCTAAATTATTGCCAATTTTTAAATTTAATTTAATCATAATCATTTGTGAGAATATGTTCATGTGTAATGCGTTGAAGGACAGGACATAATATTTTTTATTTCCTTCTAAATATACTATTGTTAGTTTGGAAAATTTTCTATTAAAAATCTGTCCCATAATATTGAGATGTAAATATTTTAAATTTCTTCTAAGGTAAATGGCCTGTTTAAAAAAGTTAAGGATTGTACTTTAGCTGCTGGGGTGGGGGTTGGCAGGGGAGGTTCATGTACACACGCATGCAGGAATTAATATATATGCATATGACATGTTTCCCCGGTTCTTCTAATTCTAAATATAAACTATTTCTAACCAATTTGCGAGTGTAAAAAATAACTAAAGTATTAAAGTTGTTATAAAATTGAATTCATATTCAATACTACTTTTATTAATTATGCTAAACTATATCATCATACTAATTGTTACTCTCTCTCGGTACTCTAGTATCACTGTAAGATACTTTTTGAGAGAGAGTCCTGAGAAGAGAGCATGTGTACATATAAATGATGGTTAAATGTTGGTCAGAAATGAAAGCAGTGGAGTTTGAAGGGAGATAAGGTTTGCCTGTTTTGTTTGTGGAAAAGTTTTATTTATTTATTTATTTGGTCATATTCTTTATAGAAAAGTTAAATCAATGAAGCATCAACCATTGCCAAATGGGCCGTCTTCCCCGCTACTTCCCATCAAGATCCAGGGAGGCTATTTCTAAATTTACGCTGATATTAACTTATATTCTGCAATGGTTCACAAAAAAGCGCACAATATTGTTGGCCCGTTTCCCAAAAAACCTCTTACAAAGTTCATTCTATTGTTATTCCAACTCTATTTCAAACCCAAATAGGGTTTCGGAACCACACGTATCCACATTCTGTCTCTTTGGACATTTTATGTTCCGCATCGTCTTTGTTTCCCTGCGGCACAGCCCAGCCCGATTATGTCAATAGTATATTGGGCCCAACCCAATATTTTATACCGTGTTTGGTGGCTGACCCATTCTTAAACAAGTCTAATCTATTCAATCAGGCATAAAGAATAAATAAATAAATAAATTCCAAGCGTTTTTCCTTTGATGACTAAAAAAAAAAGCTGAGTGCAAATGGGCCGAGTGAATGAGAATTAATATTTTCTTAATTGATGTTATGTACCGTGTTGGAGTAAGGTGAATACGAGAGAAAGAATAGTGGGTGGTATATTTAATATTAAAAAAAAAAAAACTAAAGGGAGTGGGTGGCTTGGCTAGTTAGATGAAGGGGGACATGGGAGGTGAGGACAAAAAGGGACAAAGGCAGTTGAATGGGCAGGGAGGCCATACCTTACGCATGCGTGTTTGCTCCTCGGTCTGCCCCTCCCATGTAGGGCCATATCGTGGGCCCCATTGGCCCATTGGGCCCTTGTGGTCCCTCCCCTTGCGATATGAATTGAATAGTGCCACCTCGCGTCCTTTTCTTTCTCTCCACCAAACACCCTCCCGCACATTGTTTTCTCTGCTCTTTCTTCTGTTCCCTCTTCCCCTATTTCATGGTCTCTACTCTCCCTCTCTTCAATTCAGCGTTCTCTTTCTCCACACATTTCAACGCTTCTCTCTTGGCCATCTGGGTCCCGACAAATATTATTTTTGTTTTCAATTTTTCGTTTGCACTTTTTTTCCCACCAAAACTAGCTCTTCGCATTTTTATATTTTTAACTTCACGTGGTTTTTTCATCATTTTTAAAATCATTGAGATGCAATGGTACTGTTTCATTCTATTTTTAATGGAAGTTTGATATCAAACTTGTGAGCTGTTGATCTCCTTGTTATTTGGTGCCAACTATCCTCAAAATTAATAAACTGTTAGTGTTGGGTTTATCATTATTAAAAATGAGGGTCGAGAGAGATATGGATTGACAGTTTAGCTCCTACTTAGGGATTAGGGATCCAAAATATTTTTTCTTAAAAAGTATTTTATAGTAATTTTTAAAGACTAAAAGAGGCGTTAAATATTTTTTATCAAGTTTCAAGGATAAAATTTAAAAGGGTCCAAAAGGACCATTGCAAGAATTTAAAACTTAAAAGGACAATTTTAAAAAAATTTGCGTCACATGCTGTGGTATACATGCATTGCCATGACATCCAACATACAAAGAGAAATTCACCCTCTATGACACGTGTCACAACATAAGCAATATGTGTCCTGATGCATGGTGCCACATTAATAAGATGACAATATGAACAATCATGGAAACTTTAAATTGGCATGACTTTATCTACAAATATTTAAATTAAGTTATTCAAACACTTACATGAAACTTATGAAATAATATAGCTAATAGTTTTGGTTTTGTACAAAAATTCATCAATATGAGAGTTTTATTCACCAATTCTCATTTTGAGTCAAAATACACTTTTTCAAAACAACTACCCTCTCAAGACCAACACCAAAGTCAAAGTCAAAGTGTGAACAATTTGACCACACATGAAACATGTTGGACAACACATAAAATACAAATATTTACTTAATCACATGCAAACTTTTATATTTAAGTTATAGCCACTCAATATGATTAATATAGTGAAAACAACATAAATTATCATAAGTTAATAATTTACTCCGAACTCATTGTAAAGCATTTAGTCACATCAAAATATGAACATGAAAGTCAAAAACTATCTCATGGCAACTAGATATGAGTTTAATCAACAATATAGAGTTACATGTTCATCACATAAATTATGCCCTGAAAATTAACAAATATACATAATCCAAACAAAAAGAGAACATCCCAATCTAATGGTGTCCATACACACCAATTACACCTTAGGTACTTCATCGATTAAATTATTTCCTGTAAAAATATTAATCAAAGTGAATGAGACACTAAAGTCCTAATAATCAAAATTAACATGCAAGGATGCATGTGATACAGCCAAACATGTGATTGCTAAGTGAACATATAAGATTATTTTTCAAACATGTGTCATTCAAACAACCTGGCAAAAATAATTTGCATAACTACACTTTATATCCCTCAATACACTATGCCTAAAACCAAGCCACCTAATAAAAAATGAGTTAGTCCAAGCTAATAGTTATTTATTGGATCCAGTGTGAGCTTAACATGTAGTAGGTAGTCTTTGAACAAAATCTCCAACAACACATATTTCAAAAAAAAAAAAAACCCAAAAAGTCATATTTCAAACATTTCCATACAAAAATGTATTAAACAAAAAAAACTTTTAAAAAATGTTTATGCCATACATAGTACTCATGCACAGTTCAACTCACTTGGCAGTTAATTTTCCAAATAAAAACATTCTTTCTATGCAGAACATATTTTCCAAATATAATGAAATGACACGTAATCAATCACACATACACCCTATCACACATTAACAATGGTTACCAGAGACGGGTCCATAGGGGGGCAAGCAGGGGTGCATGCCCCCTAAGGTACAAAAAATGCTTAAATTTACTTGGTTTTTTTTTGTAAAAAATGTTAAAATTAATTTTAGCCCTCCCATAAAGTTGGTTATAGATTCATCCCTAATGTCACCTTTACTCCTTATTGATAAAGCTCCCCAAACGAGTGGATTGTCACCTCCAATGGTATTAATATCATGATATACAAACAATGTGATACTAACTATTGTTAATGTAATGCTAATTATAGCTAATCGAAGCGCCTACACACTAGTCACACTCTAATCCAGGGTTAAATTAATTAATCTAATTAACTAACAACTACCACACTCATATCAACCCTTGAATACACTCATGATCATTATTATTACACTTATTAATTCCTTAAATGGCATCTACAATGCTAAAACAACACTTGTTCAACCTCAAAACCACCTTAGCAACTCATTGACTAAATGCCCACAAATATGAACACCCGAGCTTAACCCAAATATAAATTAGCTTAAAAAAATGTTTATAAGGTAAAAATGAGATTAGGGAAGCTACCTTGAGTGATTGGAGGCATAAAATCATGTTCTGTGAGTGCTTGCCTCAAAACCTTATTAGAGCTCTCTCAAATCACTACCTAAGGCTTTTATTTCTCGCTCTACATTTATGTTTTTCAAATAGAAATATAAGTTTTGCAAATGTGCTACATGCCACAGTATATGTGCCATGTGCTGCAACATATGGTATGTGCCGGAAAATATCACTTAAGCCTAATAATTTGGGCCTAATATGGTCCAATATCCATTATGAACCTAAGTAATCACAATACACAATCTTAAGTCAAATTTAAATCATAATTAATCACCTAAATATTTGATTAACCTCTATAAACCTTAATGGACATAAATCCTCAAAATAATTTGGGTCCAATCTAGTCCATTGACCATTTTGGACCATAAATAACCATAATACGTTTTTAGGCCCAATTTTGCCCATAATTAAGCACCTAAATATTTGATTAATCTTTATAAACCTCAATCAACGTAAATTCTCAATTAAATAATTAAAATACATGTTTCTTCAATTAAATTCTCAATTACGCACATTTTTCTCAATTAAGTCACTGTGTACATGTATTTCCTCATTTAAAAATAACACCTCAAATTAAATTCCTCTAATCATTGATAGCTTTCACAATTAAATCTCTGAATAGAACTTAGGATGCTATATAGGTCAGAGGTAGTATATTACAAATACATAATTTTGTTATGAAAAAAACTTAAATACTTAATCTTACATGTATAGTTTTTCATGTTCAAAATGTTTGTGTCCAATTAAATAATATAAAAATTCATTAATATTATTGCTTCCCGTGTTTTTGTTGTGGGTGTGTCAAAGGAGTATGTCCTCGAAGGTGCGATGTTCCAAACTTTTAAATTCAAACGATGAGTTCTTAAGGGTCTTCATGACAATTTCCTCAAATACAAATTCTTAAAAATAAAA